TCAAAACATTTACCGTCTCTAGCATAGTATGAAAATGTCTGAGCTAGTTTGCCGATTGAAATGGCTTTTTAAAGACTTAAGGTCCTGGGCCATACGGACAATGGATTCCCGACAGTGATGTGCACTCTTTGAAACTTAGAATTTGATTTCAAAATATCTAGTCAGTTCATTGTACGCTTGGATATTCGCGTATCTGAAACTTAATTATGCTTACTCACTGCAGATTTATTGGGAAAAACATATGGGACTAGTGTATAGGGACTGTCGCCACAGTCTCTTTTTATGGGTCAATTTTCTGTTTTCCTCGACTGAATTCCGAAGGCTTTGGCAAGGGGAGTCGCTAAGCACAAGGAGCTTACAGATTCGTCCTTTAAGCCAATCCTATGCATGCGTATGAGGTCCGAATAAAGGTGCGTTCCACCTAATTTTGCTGCTAGACGCCTCCTCTTAAATTGCAGAATCCTCTTACACCGAAGTTGAATGAACAAATGTGTGAACAAACACTGGAGTGTTAGTTCGACCATAGAAATCGATTATGTCCACCATGCGCCCAAGAGTATGGACGGTGACCGTAGTCAGGTATGGTAAACGTAGACGAGCAGCCATATACCCCACTCTAAAACCTCTCCTCACTTGGACCGGAGACAAGATGCAGCCGAGATGACCGAGCAGCAATCGGGCGTAAGCCGCTTTCTACAATGCAGCCAGAAACACCGCCTAACTTAGTCTTACATGAACGTAGCCTTTTGTGCTGGCACCACTGCACTATTCATTGTAGTACATTTGAAGGAGCACACTACAGATTTAACACGTGTTCACTATCGTCCTGCACCGACCGAAATAGTAGTAGGTGTTGGTAATTTGAGTGCGGAAAACCGATCAACTTCTGGTTTGTAATCTTAATCAAGATGTGCCCCATAGGTTGCTGCGAAGGAGGAAACACTTTCATTGTAGGTGACTGTAGAAATAATCAGGTAATACAGAAGTTCTCTTGTGGGAGATGAAACCGACAACAGAGCTGGCTGGCGTATTCCGTTGAACTATCGTTAAAGAAGTCGGCGATTTGTCTGAAAACTTCAAATACTTTTAACTTAAGATTCGGAAGAGCATAATAGACAAAATTGAAAATTTTAGTCCTATTTCCCTGAGAGATCCTTTTTTCCTGTTCTTCCTGGAAAAAATGAGGCTTGTTAATTTTCATGAAGAGAACACATTAGACTGGAATCACTTCCCGTTTACTGACCCAGTCATCGATCAGAAAAATTTTAAAAGGCGGCTAACCTTTATCATGAACTCAAACTTGCGTCAAGACAACATCTTGCGATACTTGATCACTAATGACCCCCATTTTGAAACCGAAGACTGCATGCTACTTCTTCAGGGAGTATTGGAAATTAACTAATAAGTAGTCTTCAGCACTAATGTGAAAACGAAACCTGGTCACCTCAATTTGGAGTGTTGTGATACTGCCGTTTTCGCGGTGGAAATTCCAACAATTCATATACGTTCCTCTTATTGTTAGGGACGTTTGTATAACCTTGGTTTGTGACAGCAACTCGTTTCGGACAGAATATGTGAATAGGGATTCCGCCTCTCATATAATACAAGTGGCCTTATGCTAAATTCGCGTGTCTTATCTCTAACACTTATTTTCCTGGAATTTTTCACAAAGCCACGTACCTATTTCAAGCGTTTCTTGTTTTCATTTCCTGTGAGAGGTGCATGCCAAAAGTGTTGATGAATTTTTCGCAAAAAAAGGTAGGCGTCACATAACTAAACAAACTATTAGTTTATCCAGTGTGGTCAACCAGCATATGAACATTTGAAATATATCTGTGCCTGTGGTTGGTATTCTTTTTTTAGTTCTCTACTAGTTAGAGCTCACTTTCTTTAGCAACCTGCCTTCCCTCTTAAGGTGTCATATATATGACTCTAAAGGACTCCGACCGTATCATTGGTCCATAACGACGTCGAATTCAAGCGTCAACAATGTACAGGATATGGGTGTAGTCTACACAAATCTTGTTGAGACCTAAGAGCCATTATTTGTGATCCCGGTTTTAGGAAAATATTAGTTGTAAAATAGGATTATTCGGTCAATTTCTTAGGCACATTAAAAAGGGAGTGATGTAGTTCCTCTGCAAACTCTCTACCTTCTACTAAAAACGACGCCCAACGAGGTCGCATGTACGCGAATGGAACTGAAAACTGGACGTGGACACGCAGCGACCGCCCACTGCGTTCCCCTGGCTCCACTGCCAAACATGTTTGCATATCCTATAAGTTATTCTTCTTTTCTGAAAATAAAACGCCCAGACGTTCGAAGGTCGACAGGGGGTACTGTCTTTGCGCGGGATAACAAGAAACAGCCGTTATTTGTCGGTGGGTTAGAACCCAAGGGAATGTTTCTCCTCATTTTAAAATTCAGTAGTAGGAACTTCCGGCTTCTACCATCCCGCGCTGTTTGGGCTATGAATAGCGCAGACAGTGCAGCTACCGGCCAGCCACTGGTTAGAACCGCATTCTTCGCGAACCGACCGCCTCCCCCCCTCGCCCCCACCAAACTCGCCGGAAACATTGGCAGGCTTCGCTCAGTCAGCGAGGCGCATTCGTATTCGCATAGGTTTCCTCCTTCCCTTCATCTTCTGTTGCAGCTAATGCGCTGGCATCGCACAGAAGCTGAGCTTCGAAAAAGTGTACGTGGAGGGAAAAGTAATTTTCTAAGCGGGGTTAGCTAACCCATTTGCGTGCACTTATCTCTCCGACTGCCGTATTTTCTCAAGCGCCCTAACCAGAACCTCCTTAAAGGGCGCTAACCATGACCG